TCCCGTAGTTCTTCTCTAGCTTTTTGGAGATTGTCCAGGACTATAGCAAAGGAATCCTGCACTTCTAGGAAATGTTTCTGCAAATCCGTAGTAGGCGGCTTTTCGGGAATTGCTACCTCCAAACCATTCTCTCGCTCTATCCTGCGTATTTTGGGTATGCCTATGCCGTACTTTTTGGCTACCTTCTGCAGCCCTACGCCGTTCCGCCTATCTTCCAACAATCCTGCAATTTCTTCCTCGGATAGTATTTTGGGTGTTGCCATATATATCTACGGGACATGGTTTTCCTATGCCTATATAGCTATGGATCTATAGGGTATTCCGTGGGTCCATAGGTATATAGACATGTATCTCTACATAGCTACGGGTATGGTCGCATACATACTGGGAAAACAAAGAACAACGCAAATACTTCTGGAGATCTCAGAAGGTCTCTACAGAGCACAAAAGACTTTGCAGGAAAGGTAGCCGAAAATGGTTGCCGAAAAAAGGGAAAAAAATATGCTCTTATAAACTTAGTAACGCGGGGCACCGATAAAACCCGTAGAGAGCTTAATTACGCAGGCAATACCCAGACCGACCTTACGGGTAATACCCGCGGCCGACGCACGTACGTGAGGGCGGGCAATACCCGCATAATTCCGGGGGGTGACCGCGAGTCCCTCTTAATGCTGCTATAGTGTAAGCACTCTATGGTATAACAATAGTAGTATAGCAGTAATTGTAGTTTTCCTACTGTTAGTCCCTGGGACAATTGTCTTCGATTACTAATTACATTCAATTGCTTTCTGGAGGCGCGCGAACAACGCAAACATAGAAAACTGTCAGATAGAAGCCATATTCTAAGGAAAAATTAATTGCTGGTTCAAAATTTTGGAACTCTAGCTAGAAAATGAGCCAATAATTGCTTGGCATTTCAACTTCATATACAAATTAAAAACATGAAACGTTATTAGGTTTGATAGATATTATTTTTAGTTTAGTTATATATATATATATACATATTTAGCAACAGCTTATAAGTTTATTAGTTATTTTTCTTATTAGTTCTGTTATTGTCTAATGGTATATTCTATTTGGTAGTTTATTTAAGTATATATACATATTTTGCAGTCTATCAGTCTTTCGATTTTATATTTATTTATTAGTTTATGCTCAATCAGCATTGCTTAGGCCTTTACTGCTTTAGGCTCGCAATTGTTGTAAGACATATTTGAGGACATTGTAATAAAGTTTTCAGTCAGATACCGCGCGCTGTGTCGTACCTTAGCTTGTACGGTTGCTTGACAACCAACGCGAGAGCAAAATCTGATATTATGTACAGCGGTATTTGACGGGCTCAAGCTTACTCATAATATGTACAGCTTTAAATAAAATAAAACAAGATGCGAACTTTACGTACCGTTGTCCTGTTGATTTCTCTTGCGAAAGCTTGGATTATAAAAATTGTAAATATACGTGGAAGAAACATAATTTTCTAATAATATTTTATATAATAGATTTTCACGAACGCGCGCTCTGATTGGCTGAAAAGCTATGTTTTATCAGAGTATAAAAACATAGATATGACTTCAAAACCATGTTTTCTATACAAAATTAAACAGAAAATACGTCACAGGAATTCGGCTTTTCAATTTCAAGCATTTTCACATTTTAAATTTAAAATATTCATTTATTTTTATCAAGAATTTAATATGTCTTTCCTCTAAAAAAGGAAAATATGTCGTTTTGAAGCACATTTGATTGGTACTACATTTCGACAATTAAAGCTTTCTTTCGTTTGTGCTGCGACTATTGCAATGACCTTATTTCGCTAAACTAGAAGCTTTTTGCTTGACCGTGATGGTGTTAGAGAAGTCAAAAAATAATTAATTTTTTTTTTCATAGTCTAAGAATGAACAAATCTATCGTAAGAAACTTAAGCTTACTTTACAAACTACCATCGTCAATTTTACGCTAATTTACGGCAATTTTTTTACCGTAATTTGTTTTCCAATAGCCCGAGACTACGATTACAAAATACTACCTACACTACTATAGTTCAGGGTCAACTAAAAAAACAAGTTTTCCAAGTACTGCACTGCTAGCTTTCTTCTAATTTTGAAGATCAAAATCGCCTCCTCGTCTCTCGGCTCCTTGGTATTCAAAGTGTTCATAAGCCGGTTTTCTTGAGTGTTTGTACAGGTTAAATGTCCATTTAACGATCTGAACTTTGAAAACGTTTTTCAAACTCTTCAGTATTTGAATTTTCATTTCTTCTAGCAGTTAAATGCTTGTTTTCTTTGGCTTTTTTGCTAAAATTTACAAGTAATTCTCCTTTCTTTTTGAACAAATTCGATAAACCAGTTGTATGCCAGCCCGTACAGACCTGTCATTACCTGTCAAAACTGGACCCATCAGATAGCCATAGGTCGCGTTTTTAGCCAATCATCGCATAGATCAAATTTGTTTGGGTGAGTTTGACGACAGACGCACGCTCTTTATGTAAACAAATATTTTTTTTAAAAGATTGTACGCTATTTTTTTCGTAAAAATCTATTATATAAAGCGAATAGATCAGGCCTAGCTATGTTCTGTTCTCTGATAAAACACTCCTGAAGCTGTAGAACACTCAAAACGTTATAGAAATCGCTCGCCTACGGCTCGTTATTTCTATAACTATTTTCGTGTCCTACAGCTCCAGTCGTGTTTTATCAGAGAACAGAACATAGATAAGCCTGATCTATTTGTTAAATAAAGTACTAAAACAACGAAAAAAATATAAAAAACAATAGAGCGATTACCGACTTTGTTTCAGAGCTACGA